ACAAGTTAGAATTGACTTGATGGCAACTATTTAACTTCTTGGTAGCTTTTAACATCAGGAACTCTCTCTCATCCTCTTAAAACTCTTCCTACTTCTGGCTTTCATGACTGTGATGCCATCACCCCTGTGTCTCTGACTGCTCATCAGTCGTAAGTCACAGCTCTGCAGCTTTCCAACTGCTGGTCCATGGACACGCCACCACCAGGACAGAAGGCAATGGGCCTTCTCAGCCCTCCTCCCACCCCATTCACCAAACAGTCCAGCAAAAAGAAAGCTCCTGTCCAACATCAAAATACACTTTTATTCCTGTCCCAATAAATACCCGGTCACAGCACTCAGATTATTTCTGGAACAAGTGGACAGAGCTACCAGGCTGAACTCCAAACACAGCACCTGTGTTGTCTCAGCTACTCAGCAGCTGTGCTCACTAGCAGCGACAGCTGCCTGCTCTGCATGACTCAGGGAGCTTCAGTCACCATCAAGAGACTCTCCTTGCAGCCCAGCACTGTGTCAGATGCGCAGAGGAAAAGGAAAACCCACCTTGTCCACTCCCCCAACCAAAGTGCCCAGAGCTACGGCCAGAGAAGGAATGGAGAGTGAGCTTCTGAACGTCAGCTCTCACCTGGCCCCCATGCACTGGTTTCTGTTGAGCATGGACACTTGATAAAGGCATCACTGACATTTTGGCAACCACCTTGGAGTGTTTCTGACACGGGGATGTGCTCACAACAGCCTGCTCCACCTCAGAGAGGTCAGATGTCATGCCTCGCTGCTCTCTGAAAACCTTTGCTTAGGAAACTTCCTGGTCAAATAAATAATAGCAGAGAGGGAGGACAGCGAAGCCTCTCTCCTTCATAACTGGGCCTGCAGCACACGTTATCCTGGGAGTGCTGCAGAGATGCAGGGAGAGAGGTCAACACTTACAAACAGACCAAATGACAACATCCCAATGGGGTTCATCTATTTATTGATACTAATATTAAGCCATTTCCCAGCAAGAACTTGATGTCAAAGGAACAGGACTCTGCTTCTAAAGGTAATAAAATAACAATGACATCATAGACAAAGCACTGGGAACATTCCTTGCAGAAAAAAATGGCTTGTCTTCTTTTGCCAGAGTGACAGGTGCTTAGTTGAGTTCCCAAGCATGTACTCCTGGTCCCTAATAGATGAACATCTTCGTTCACATTGACCCTCGGAGAATTCCAGGCCATGAAGTATGAATAGGCATCCTTCTCCACGTCCCCTCCCCGTATCGGGTAACCCTTCTCAGTTCATCTGGATAAATCTGTGTTTCCTGTCAGTGAAGTGAGTGCTGATGATAGGGTGAGCCAAAGTCTGGTGACAAAAACAATTAGCACCAAAAAGCTGGTTCTGCTTCATCTTCACGAAGTAAACACAATGATTTTTATTCTTTTCTTTAAAGGAAAGAAAAGTCTTAAAAATATATGGCACTAGAGTGAAAACTATACAACTGCATCAGGTTAAAATCTCCCACAGCTTCCAGCCCACAGCACTGCGCTTCACGTCAGATATAGAGCTGATGGGAGGCCAAGGTGTCCATGAAAGGGCGAACCAGGTTGTCTGTGGAGAAGTAGAAGATGAGGCCGAACGTGATGGAGATGGGGAGGGCGGGCAGCGCTTTCTTGAACACGGCCAGCAGCAGGAGGGTCAAACACAAACCCTGCAGGACACAGGGGAGGTGGGGGGTGAGGAGGGCGACTCCACCGTGTGGACGTGTAGGGGGAGGAGGGAAGGGAGCACTTCGGAAGGGACTTGATGACAGCCTAGTCCCTGGGCTCAGGAGCTTGTTCAAGGACTTGTCACCCCATTATCTTCCCTGATCCCTGCAACATCTCTGTGAGGTATCACAGGGCAGATGTTCTCACTCTCATCACAACACCCCACACGCTAGTGGGCGAGTCAGAAAGCAGCCTCCTGACTCCAAGGACAGGGCTGTTCTCCCAGACTATGCTGCCTCCCCAGTCTGCCTGTCACAGTCACTCAGGACAGTAAGACGCGTCCCCGGTCTACGTGTCACAGTCACTCAGGACAGTAAGACGCCTCCCCGGTCTGCCTGTCACAGTCACTCAGGACAGTAAGACGCCTCCCCGGTCTGCCTGTCACAGTCACTCAGGACAGTAAGATGCGTCCCCGGTCTGCCTGTCACAGTCACTCAGGACGCTAAGACGCCTCCCCTCAGGGAGCATGTATTTATACAAGAACTGGATGAGCCCAACTGAAATGCTGGGGAGGTTCTCAGCAGCTCACATCAGGGGAATCAATGATGTTATGTGACCCATCCCCTGGGAAGTAGGTGTGGGAGATGCCCATCTCACCTCCCCGGCCAAGGTAGGCAGCGAGCTGGGTGGGGACAAGGAACCAGAGAGCTGGCCTTATCCCTGGGGAAGCAGCAGGCTTCAGATCAGACCATTGGAGGAGGAGGGCCTGGAGGCCTGTCACCCCTGACACTCATTTGTGGGCAGAAACAGAATCTCCAAAAACCTGGGCCACCAGCCTTAATGTGCCCTGCCACATAACACCCAGGGTTTTCCTCAAAGGTGCAGAGCACTGAGAATTCACTACTCTGAGACTCTACCTCCTCTGATCCGAAAAGGAAGACGTCTGAGATGAAATCATAATAGAATGTCTCCCCACTGTGTGTATTTGGCCATGTTAAGTGACTACAGAGGCCAACAAATTTCACTGCTGGGGTTCAAAGCGATGGGGTTGTCCTCCAAACCTCAGAAGACCCTGGAATGCAGAACCTCACGGTGTCCGGGTGGCACAGAGGAGAGGGAAGCATACAGGCTCCAGAGTTAGAGAACTGAGCTTAAATCACAACTTAGTCCCTCACTAGCTTTGTGCCCATGGGTAAGGCTCATAACCTATTTCTAAAAATCTGAGGTAAACATACTCACCACACAGGGTATTGTGAGACAAGCACACAAAACTTTTGGCCAAGTCCTCAGCATGGAGTGCTGCTCAATGAATGTCAGAGCTCCTGGGTCACCCCCTCCCCTTGCACTGTCCTGAACAGTCTGGGGAGGGTCTTGTTGATAACTACCAACCAACCAAGCAGTTGCTGTTGAGTCGATTCTGACTCATGGCGCCCCATGTGTGTCAGAGTAGAACTGTGCTCCACAGGGTTTTCAACGGCTAATTTTTCTGAAGTAGATCACCAGGCCTTTCTTCTGAGATGCCTCTCGGTGAACTCAAACCTCCAACCTTTTGGTTAGCAGCCGAGTGCGTTAACGTACGCACCACTCAGGGACTCCTGTTGACAGCTACCAAAAAAAAAATAAAAATAAAAACAAACCAAACCCGTTGCTGTCGAGTTGATTTCAACTCATAGCGACCCTACAGAACAAAGCAGAACTGCCCCATAGGGTTCCCAAGGAGCGCCTGGTGGATTCAAACTGCCAACCTTTTGTTTAGTAGCCGAGCTCAACCAGTGCACCACCAGGGCTCCAAATCTTTGGTCTTGAGGATCTTCCTGACAGTCCCCCAAACCAAACCAAACCCACTGCTGTCAAGTCAATTCCAACTCATAGTGACCCTGTAGGACAGAGTAGAACTGCCCTATAAGGTTTCCAAGGCTGTAAATCTTTACGGAAGCAGACTGCCACATCTTTCTCCGGCGGAGCTGATATTTGAACCAACGACCTTTCGGTTAGCAGTGAGCACTTAACTACTGCACCAGCAGGCTCCTTTTGACAGCCCCGTCCAGCTCCAATAACTGCTTCTGCTCCCCAGAGGGAGGACTGCACCTGAAAACTCCCTGGGGATCCTGAGGCCCCCTCGTGAAGACCCTGGGGAACACAACTCACAATAAGGATGGCCACGAAGCATGCCAGCGTGGTGTTCCAGTCCCCACTGCCCGTGGCCGCCGCCTTGCCCACCAGCACGCTGTAGAAGATGAAGTCCCCGAGGCCGAGCTTCACGCCCCCTGTGTGGGGAAGAGAAAGCGCACCCATTGGTCTCCGAAGCCCCGAGAGGCTGGCAGAGGGAAGGAAGAGAGGCTAACACTAGGCAGGAAAGCACAGCCCCTCTGCCCGGGCAAGGGAAGGAGGGGCCAGAGCCCTGGGACCTCAGGGGACTGGACAATGTAGAGTCCCTGCCCAGCCTGCTCCCCCTCACATGGACCAGGGGAACAGCCACGCAGACTGGTGACAAAAAACAGGCTGTCCTCTGGAAAATGGCGGCCAGTGGGAAAAGGTGGGGAAACCCGTGGTTTGGGCAACTTACAGCCTGGGCAGTCAAAAGCAGGCATTTCTGATACTCGGGTAAAACCAGGGCTTGGCACTTAGTTGAGCGAAGAAAAGAAAAAATAAAAATATACTGGCCAGCGTTGGGGGAATTGTATACAGTAGCCCCCCTTATCCGCCGTTTCGATTTCTGCGGTTTCAGTTACCTGCAGTCAACCACTGTTCAAAAATGTTAAATGAGTACATAGCATGATGAAATCTCATGCCGTCATTATGTAACTTTTATTACAGTATATTGTTTTTAATCGTTCTATTTTATTATTAGTTATTGTTGTTAATCTCTTACTGTGCTTAATTTATAAATTAAACTTTATCATAGGTATGTATGTATAGGACAAATCGTAGTACATACAGGGTTCGGGACCACTCTTGGTTCAGGCATCCACAGGGGGATCTTGGAATGTATCCCCCACAGGTAAGGGGGGACTACTGTACAACTTAGTGCTAAGTCTGAATTATACATTTTTTCTAGGAATTTTAATTTCACTACTTTCAAGAACATGCAATTGTACATACCTAGATAGAAGGCCTCTGGGGACACCTCCCCAAAAAAAACAGGTAAAATTATTTTGTAATTAGCCTCTACATTACTGATAAGTAAATCAGAGCTTCTAAAATACTTTCATTTTCTTTCATGCAGCTGCCCTGGTGCTCCTGTTTGTGGGATTATTTTGTTCCCATAGACAAGAGAAAGGTTTACATAATAAACTCGCCAAGCAGGCCTGTTGTGAGGACACCCATGGCTGCCTCACCTGTCCACCACTCCTCCCTTCCGAGCTCCAAGCGGAGGGGTCCCGCCTCCTGTTGCCCCACCCTTCCTCCACGACCTCTTCATCAACACCGCATTTGCACCTCTGATTTCAACTGCTCCCCTCAGCTGGCTCCTCCCTCGGTGCCTAATAAACATGTTTAAGTCTTGCTCATCTTAAAAATACTGCTGTCTTTGCCCTGGTCCCTCCCTCTCTAACTGCCCAACCACCCCCCTTCCTGCCTCTCCCTCCCTTTATCTCACTTCTGAAACCTAACCACACCAGGCACCTGCACCCTACCCAGCGACTGGCCCACGAGGGCCCAGGCCATTGCTTGGCTGTCCCAGTGCTTGCAGCACACCCCTCCCCTGTCCAGGTCCAGTCCCTCACACAGGCTACACCTCAGGGTCTTCCATGGGCTCCGGCCCACCCCGTAAGCCCTGGGCTGTCCTTAGCACTCTCCATTCTGGCCCTGCACCTTCCCAGGGGCTCTTCTTCAGGCCCTCGGTTTTGACAACATCTGTATGTTGATGACTCCAATGCCTGGTCTCAAACCCTGGCCCCTCCCCGGAGCCCCTCACCCACTGAGTGTCCACTGGTGTCTCCACCTGAGCGTGTGGCAGACCTTCGTGCTCGCCTGTCCAAAACCGAGCCCGACCTCCCGCACACCTGCCTGACCATGTCTGGGTGGGCATGGTCACTCCCCCCCCCCGCCCCCTCCTCGTGTGTCCCTCACCCAGGGAGTCCTTCAGGGCCGTCCCACACGTGCTCTGGCTAGTCTCTGACCCTGACTCTTGCTCTTCATTCTCTTCTGTCGTCTGGATGAGGGCAGCGCCCCCTCCTGGTCTCCCAGCAGTCCATCCATCCAGATTCCTCCGCACCTCAGTACGGAATGTAGAGCTGCTCATTTTGTTTCCCTGCATAACCACCAGTGGTTCCTGTCACCTCCAGGATAAAACCTGAGCTCTCCCCACCTGTGCCATGCCCTGCAAGGTCTTTCCCAGGCCCCACACCCCAGCTGCTTCCTGCTCACCCCACCTCCTCTGCCCAACCACACCAAGCAGCTCCCTGAAGGCTCACTTCTCCTATCCTCTTTCATCTCTCAGCCTTTGCAAATGCTCTGCCCCTCAGGACCTCCTCAGGCTTAGCCACCTCCCTGGGCTTAAAGAACCTGCAGCTGCTCCAGACTGCTTTACGTGCTCTGCAGTGCTGCTGCCGGCAAGGCTCAATGTGCACTGACTGAATGACTGTGCTAATCCCCCTGGGAAAAGAATCAGGTCTTGAACCACCTCTGCGCTTGTGTTCAAGACTGCCCTCCACAACAGCTACTCATGTCTCCTCAGGCTCTGCCCCGGGGAGGCATCCCCCCAAGTCTGCCCCCTGCTCTGTGCTCCACGGCCTACTGGCAGACACAGTACAGAGGCTGTGACCTGCCAGCCCAGCCCTTCCTTGGAGCCCGAAGCCCACCTGCCTCCCTTATAGCTGCACAGGGACCTCCTACAGGCCCCTCAAGGGTGGGACACCCAGATGGAATTCTCACCAGCCACAACTTGTCCCCTCCCAGTGGCATCCATCCTCCCATGCAGTGTAAAACCCTCCTGTGGCTCCGTCTACTGCTGGGATACCCCCGGACCCTCACCTTGATCTGGAAGGCCCCCCTCGCTGCACCCCCGCACCGTGGGCCCAGCGCACCTTTACCTCCTCTAATCATGGCAGCCCCTGCCTGGGGGTCTCCTAGTGCAGGCCCCTCAGCGGACACGCTCTTCCTGGGCTGCCTCTCACCTGCTTACTGCTGTGGGCTCGCCTCAGAAGTTACTTCCTCAGATAACCTTCTCTGACCCCTTCGGACCAGGCCACGCCCCGACCTGCTCTCCTGGCACCTATGTTCTCCTTCACAGTCCTGTGTGTGACTAATGCCCCTCGCCCCGTTAGACTGTAAGGCCCAGGAGAACAGGGTGCTTTCTCCCCTGCACCCCAGCACAGCCAGGACTCAGTAAAAATCTGTTAAATAAATGGTTCAGCTTCAACACAAAAGCTCCTGTGGCCGCCAGCCAGGCCCCACCTTTGCAGATTTCTTCATGACTTTTGTAAAGACGGCTTTGAAATGAAAAGGGGCTTCTCCCCTCACACCCTTCCCCTGGCCCCATCCTTGGCTGACGCCGACCATCTGAACACGGGCACCTTACTTTCCTCCTCTTCCTCCAGCTCCTCCCCCAGGTAGCCAGGCAGGGGGGGTTCAAAGACTTCTGGGTACGAGGGCTCCCCAAAACTGTCATAGGAGTCTTCTTCTGGGTGTCGGTCATGGTGGTGAGGAGGTGGCAAAAAGAGAAACAAGCACAGTCAAAGGGCATCCCTCGGCTCTGGGGAACAAAGCCCCGGGGGGTGGGGTATGGCCCAATCACTGCAGGACCCCAGTGCTCCCCACCCACACCCACCATCCTCAGCAGCCCCTGGAACCTGAAAGGGAATGCAGCCAAGTGAGGGTGGGTCAAGAGCCGACGAGCCAACCCTGCCCAGTCTCTAAGACGTGTGCCCAGGAGGGCTGCCCCAATGCTCTCCAGAGAGGCCAAGCCAGGCAGAGCTGGGGACAGGATGCAGAACATGGCGCCTGTCGCCCACACAGGTGGGGTGCAGATGAGGAGCTACCTCCCAATTCTGACAGGCCCCCGGGACACTCACCCATCTCTGGATCATAGGGGAGCTGGAGGGCTCCCTGGGAGGAGAGGTCCGGCTTGGCCATGCCCACTGTCCACACCATGGCAGCTGCAGGAAGGAGAACAGGAAGTGCTAACTTGGGCTGTCCTCAGGCCTGGAAGGCAGGGGGCCAGTCTTTGCCCCCAGGAAGCCAACACAAGACCCTAAGTTTACGTGGTATTTGTCTATATACATGGTTAGGAGGCCCTTGTGGGGCGGGGCCTGGACTCATTGACCAGGTGTGGGCAATCAATGCCTTTTCCTTTTTTTTCTCCCCCCTCCTCACAACTGCCTCACAAACAAGCTCCCTAGGTAATGCTAATGGTTAAGTGCTCAGCTAATAACTGAAAGATTGATGGTTCGAGTCCACTCAGGGGCGCCTCAGAAGAAAGGCCTGGTGATCTGTTGTTGTCATTGTTAGGTGCCGTTGAGTTTGTTCTGACTCATAGCGACCCTATGTACAACACAACAAAACACTGCCCAGTCCTACACCATCCTCACAATCGTTATGCTTAAGCCCACTGTTGCAGCCACTGTGTCAGTCCATCTCACTGAGGGTGTTCCTTTTTTTCACTGACCCTCGACTTTACCAAGCATGATGTCCTTCTCCAGGGACATCCAAAAAACCAGTCACTGAAAAATCTGTGGAGCACAGTTCTACTCTGCACACATGGGGTCACCATGAGTTGGAATCAACTCAACAGCAATTGCTTTGGGTCGTTTTTTACCCAGAAACTGCAACAATATTAGTGAAGAGTTTTGTGAATTAACTGTCTTTTGTATCTCTAGCCTGGAACTATCTCAACTTACCACCCAATACCTCCAACTCTCCACCTGAATGTCTGATGAGCACCTCAAACTTAACACGCCCAAAACATACTCTCGAACCCATCCCCCCAAACCTGCCCCATCACGTCTTCTTCCTCTCAGTAAATGGCAGCTCCACCCTATTAGCTGCTCAGGCCAAGGCACCAATGTCATTCTTGACTCTCTCACACCCTAGCCATCCACACATTTGTCAGTTTTGCCCCCAAAAATCCAACCACCTCTCACCACCTCTACTGCTGCCCCTGGTCCAAACCCCATCGTCTCTTTCCTGGGTTATTATTTATACAGCCGCCAAGTCTCCTGCTTCCACTCTTGTCCCCCATATGTTTTATTCTCCACTCAATAACCTGTGTTACATAAAGTCAGGTGGGCCTAAAATGTTTCAATGGCTTTACCTCTCACTCAGGAGTAAGAGCCAACGTCCTCGTCACAGCCTGCATGGTAAGAGTGGCCTGGACCCTCCCCATTTCTCCAACCTCTTCTCCCCCTCCCATCCCTACTCCCTCTGCTCCAGCCACACTGGACCCCTGGGCTCCCTCAATGCACAGGCACACTGCCTCAGGGCCTTTGCGCCTGCTGCTGTTCCTTCTGCCTGGAACGCTCTGCCCCCAGATTTACCTAAGTCAGGCCTCTGGTCAAATATCAGCCTTATTAGAGAGAGTGTCCCTGACCACCTATGTGAAATAGCACCCAACCCCACCCACCCTGAAGCCCTTCGCTCCCTTACCTGCTTTACTTTTCTTCACAGGACTTACCACCTCCTCACTTACGTGTTTGTCTATTTCATTACTGTCTGTCTCCCTTCTAGAAAGTGAGCAACGTCAGAGCAGACTTCACTTTGTTCCCTGGGGAGTCCCCGGAGCACAGACACTCAACACAGACGACTGTCCCAGGCACGACCCTCAGCCTTTACACACGTGACCCATCTCATCCCCCGAAAGGGCCTGCCACGTGCGTCCATGCCCTGGGACAGGCTGCTTACCGTCTCCCATCACAAGCTTGATGCTTCCCTTGTATAGAAATTATCTAGCACTTTGTAGCCCGTCAAGAAACTGTTTCCCTGGGCTCAGGGTCCCCCGTACCATGCAGACCCCAAAAACGTACAAACAAAAAAAACCCAAACCCACTGCTGTCGAGTCGATTCCGACTCATAGTGACCCTATAGGACAGGGAAGAACTGCCTCATAGGGTTTCCAAGGCTGTAATCTTTATGGAAGCAGACTGCCACATCTTTCTCCCGAGGAGCCACGGATAGGTTCCAACCACTGACCTTTTGGTTAGCAGCTGAGCGCTTTAACCATTGCCCCAGAGCTCCAGAAACGTAAGCCCTCTGTTTAAATAAGCTCCCCCTTCTCAGTGATGGGGGGAGGAGGGGTACAAGCCACAGGGCTGTGGGCTCCCTGGGGGCAGGGGCCATGTGGGTCTTGCATCCCACTGCAATGACTGGCACAGTACCTGCCACAGAGTGGGGACTTGACACAAGTGTGTTTGATGCGTACATAAACCCAAATCCCTACACACTGTTGCTGAGGCCAGGGACAAGACTGTGCACCTGCCCTTCAGAGCTGGGTAACTTCAGGCAGCCACGTGCTGTCAAGGAAAAACCAGTTGCCACGGAGTCAGTTCTGCCTCATGGTGACCCTACGTGTGTCAGAGCAGAACAGTGCTCCCCAGGGTTTTCAACGGCTGGTATTTTTGAAGCAGGTGGCCAGGCCTTTCTACTGAGGCACTTCAGCGGACTTGAATCTCCAAACTTTTGGTTAGCAGCTGGGCACATTAACCGTTTGCACCATCTAGGGACTGTCAAGGAAGCCCAGAGAAAACCAGGAGACCCCTGCTCCCCTAGACCCCTGCCCCGAAGAATATCCACAAAGCCCTTTCTCTGGAGCCTGGAGGGAGCCTGGAGGGGCTGGGCGCAGGGCTTCAAAGACTGCAGGCTCACAGAACCATAGCCTGTGCCCACCACAGGCCACTGGAGGACGGGTGGGATGAAGGGGCGTGGATGGACTACGTCCCCTCTGATGCACCTTCCTGCTCTAACACCGCAGGCCATCTCCTGTGCAGTGGCAGATACAGCCTACCTTCATCTCTGCAAGGGGGACACCCTCCTGGGATCATCAAGGCCACCCCTCCCCTTGGGCCCGGAAAAGGACAACTGTCTTAGTCACTCTGAAAGCCACAGGCAGGAGGGGTCCCTTGCCTCACTGCTGGCACTTCCTGGCCCCCCGTCAGGCAGAGGCATGGGCTACTCACAAGAGTATATCAGGGCAGGGAAGATGGGCTCATTTCTCTCCTGGGCGGTTTCCACCAGCATCCGCAGCGGCCCTTTGGGGCACAGCACAGCCACAAGATCTGGGAAAACAAAGAGTCCTCGTCACATGAAAAAGACATTTATTCCCAAATGGTCCCCAGAGAGAGGAGCCACCCCCTGACATACAAGCAAGAGATGAACTGTCCCAGGGCCCCTGAGTGAGGGTCATCACGCATCCTGCAGTTCAGCTGGCACCCGAAACCTGCGAGGTTCCAGTCACAGCTACAGCGTCGGCTCCTGCTGGAGCCCAGAGTGGGGTCTCAAAGGAGTAACTGCCAGGTGGTGCAAACAGCTAATACACTCAGCTGCTAACTGAAAGGCTGGAGGTTTGGGTCCACTCAGAGGCACCTCAGAAGAAAGGCCTGACGATCTACGTCCAAAAAAATCAGCCACTGAAAACCCTAAGGAGTGCAGTTCTACTCTGATACACACGGTGTCACCAGCAGTCAAAGTCTACTCAGTGGCAACTCGCGCTGCTGCAAACCAGGAAACCTAGACTGTGTGCCTAGAAGTCAAGCAAGACTTGGGTTCGAATTCCACTTTGCTGAGCCTCAACTTCCTTTTCTTTAAAATGGAAGTAATAACACTAGTAACAGTAATCATGCTAATATCAATTAAATTAATATTTTGGGGTGCTCATTATTTATAGGCACTGTGCCAAATGCACTTAGGGTTGTTCTGCAAATAACTTAGTGTGTAAAGTGCTTAACGGTGCCTGGCACAAAATAAGTGTTCAATAAACGTTTGCTATAATCAGTAACCATGTCAGTAACAACGGAAAATAAGGAGTTCTATAGATTTTATCTCTAATAATATAATATAATAACGGGTTTTATTTCTAGAACACCATGAGTCTATGGGACTCCATGTGCTTATGAAGGCGAACCTCTCAGAAGGGAGACCATCAGGATATCCTTGGGAAGGAGGTGACTTTCTACCACCTGCCACCCTGTGCATCAGTAAGGAAGACCTGGCATGAAGTGTCGTCACGACTGCTCACCTCACATACTGTCTGTAAGGAGGGAGTCCTTCTGACAAGGCCAGCGGCCATGATCTTCCTCATTTCTCTCCCTGCCAGCATCTGTAGGTCTCAGAACAAACCACTGCCCCGCTCAAGCCTGCTATTTGTCAGCAGGGTTAAAGAGTTACAATTCCACCTAGGTACACACCAGAATGTCTGACACCCCCACCTCGGGTGCTCAGAGTAAAAAGAAATCTACATGGTGCTTCCTGTAGTGGGTCACGCAACCCCTGGAGGCCCTTTTTGTCCCTCAGCTATGGTGCTAGGTGCAGCACGCATAGCAGAACTTTCCAGCTCACCTAACTAAGCCTACCTAGCCGGGGGACTGGCATAAGGCAGGCCCTTGGGTCTCCTGCCTACGGTACATAGTGTGGCACGTGTACAAGAGTCTTCCATCTCCACCGGACAGCTTCTGAGCTGCGGGCACTGCTCGTTATGAATTTTTCCTGTTGTGTGCTGTCTGCTTCTTGCTGTAAGTAATAAAAGCTACTTGCCACATGCTAATGCTGACTGGAAGGATGTGATATTCATGGAGAAATCAGTATTAGTGATTGCTGCCCTTTTTCTAATGGCCTTCTGGCTATTTAGAAACCCAGGACAACCTGTGAGTGTAACACACCATATACAGAGATGGCACCCAAGATGACCCAGGCGGACCACTCCGGGAGGTACTTGATGAACACCAAGGCCATGAGCGCGCTGATCATGATGAGGTAGGCCTGCTGCAACATGAGGGGGCCCTTCCAGTGGATGCACACCATGCCCACCGCCCCGAAGTTCCAGACGGTCAGGAAGAGGGTGGGGTAGTCCATGGCCACGTTGTAGGTCTTGAGCACTTCGCTGCAGGGACCAAGACAGAGCCCAGGAAGAGGTGAGACCCTGACACAGGTTAACAGCCCCTGCTCTTCAGCCTGGGTTCTTCCAACCTCTGGCCTTATTTACTAATATCCCTTCTCCCCATTCCCATTTGCCCTACAACTAATCACCTGACATATTTTCTGGAACAAGGTGGGGTGTAAAGCGACGACTCATGCTTGGGAAGGTTCATATAAACATGCACTGGCATGACCTGGAAGACCCTTCTGCATAGGGAAAAGGTCCTTGGAATGTGTTTTCTTGGTAGAAAAAGTGGTTAACACGCTTGGCTGCTAAGACAGGTTGGATGTTTGAGTCTACCCAGAGGTGCTGTGGAAGAAATGCCTGGCAATCTACTTCTGAAAAATCAGCGATTGAAAGCTCTATGGAACACAGTTCTACACTGACATGCATGCAGTCACCATGAGTTGGTTTGTCAGGCTCTTTGGGCCCCTGGGTCAGGCTGATATGCCAAATCAAGGGGCAATAGCACAGGTAACTCTTCCCATAAACTAGGAAGTACCCAGGCATAGTCAAAAGAGAAGAACTTAAATTTTGAGGGGTTTCCACCCACCTTGGGTTCACAGAGAGCCTCCTCCAAGATGGCTTTGCTTGTTTTAAGTCAGGAACCAGACAGACATGTGGCCCCCCACAGATCCCCACTCGCCCTCCCTGTTGAGAAGGCCATGGGAGGAGCCCAGAGCCTGCACTCCCAGAACAGCTGATACTAGGGAGGTCTGGAGCACAACCATCACCCTTGCACGCCCAGGTCCTTCTAGTCACTCTTGCTACCAGCAGCCACTTACCCAAGGTAGATGTAAGTAAAGAGGAACAGCAACATCAGGGAGGACATGATCAACCAGCCATGGATAAACTAGACAACAGGAGACAGAACGATCATGAGGCATCCCCGAGCCCATAAAACCACAGGCCCCTCCATTCCTGTCCTGATGTCCAAAGCTGAAGGTCTTTATAGTAATATTTCATGACAGTGCTGGAAGATTGTTATGAGTTGAACTGTGTCCCCCCAAAATTACATGGAGGTCCTAATCTCTGGAAATATGACCTTGTTTGGAAATACGGGCATTCTTTCGTTATGTTAATGAGGCCATGCCAAGTAGGGTGGGTCCTAAACCTAATCATTTCTGAGAGGTGTCTTATAAAAAGAACAGAAGAGACACAGAGACACACACGGGGGAAGGCAGGTGCCAAGGACACCAAGGAACTCCTGGGGCCTTCCCTAGAGCTGATGCCCTGAATTCAGACTTCTCGCCTCCAAAACTGTAAGACAATACACTCCTGCTCTTTAAAGACACCCCTTGTGGCATCTGTGTTACAGCAGTACTGGCAAACTAAGACAGGGTCCTGGGTGGCCATTTTCTAGATGAGGTGAGGAGGTCACAGAAATTCAAAGAATCCTCTTGAGCTCATCCAGTGAGTGCGTGAAGGAGATGAGATGAAGTTTTATGTCAACCAACAGGTGCACCAGTGCTCTCTCCACCTATTTACACACCCATTTAGAAAGACCATTTCAGACGTTTGTTACAAGGCAGGCGCTGCTCTAGGCTCTGGGGATAAAACTAGCAAAGTCTTTGCCCACATGTAAAGCACTCCAGCGTGAGGGGAGACAATGAACAAATCCATAAATACACAATGTATGAGCAGGTAGCGATAAATGCTACCAAAACAAACAAACAAACAGGCAGGATAATGTGACAGAAACTCATGGTGGTGCTATTTTGCAGAGTGATAGAGGCAGGTCTTGAGGGAAGTTTTTGTTTTTTTTAATTGTGGTAAATAGATATGTAACAACAAAACATTTGCCATTTCAATATTTCTCACATGTACAATTCAGTGACATTAATTAGTCAACACATTGTGCAATCATCATCACTACTGTTTCCAAATTTTTCCATCACCCTTAACAGAAACTCAGTGTCCCCTAAGCAATGACTCCCCTTTCCCCCTCCCGTCCACCCCTGGTAATCACTAATAAACTTTGATCTCTGTCTACTGCGTATCTGCATCTGCCTATTTTAGACATTTCACAGAAGTGGGATCAGACAATATCTGTTCTTTTGTGACTGACTTATTTCACTCAGCATGATGTTTTCAAGGCTCATCCGTGCTGTGGCATGCATCAGGACTTCATTTCTCTTTATGGCACAGTAACCTTCCATTGCATGTATGCACCATATTTTGTTGATCTACTCATCTGCTGATGGACATTTAGGCTATTTCCACCTTTTGGCTACTGTGAATAGTGCTGCAATGAACTCTGGTGTAAAGGGGACTTTTTTATTTTTTTTTATTTTATTGTACTTCAGGTGAAGGCTTACAGAACAAATAGTTTCTCATGAAACAGTAGTACACATGTTGTTTTATGACATTGGTTAACA